TTTTTTTTTTTTTTTTTTTTGTACCCATCATTTTCATATTTGATTCTGTGGCTCATTCGGTTTTTAGAAGCTTATTTAAGATGAGTTTACAAACAAACCTTTGAGGTTTAAGTGAAGCTGTAAGAAATTACCTGCCTTTCAGAAGGGGATGAGGAGGATGAAGATGATGAAGATGAAGCTGGTCCACCAGGAGAGTACGAAGAAGATGAAGATGAAGATGATGCAGGTTCAGATTTGGGGGAGGGTGAAGAGGAGGAAGAAGTTGGTCTTTCATACCTGATGAAGGAGGAGATCCAGGTAGGACTTTCCCTTTTCTGCTATAAGACTTAGGATTTTCTTGACACTGTCTGGCTATAAATGTGTAATAATTTAAATTTGTGTAAGCAGAATCATGTATATCCACTATCATACGTGAGCAATAGGCTACTTTAGAGAGATCTTTTACTATCACACAAGTGCATTGCAGTAGGAGAACCACTGCTCTTTGGTATTCTGCATTGTCCTGCTCAATGAAATGCTTCAAGATTCATTACTGCATTGCCTTGAAGAGTTAGCGTTGTTCTCTACCGGGTCACCAGGTCAGATTTTGAGGAGAAAAACCACCTTCCAAAGCTAAAACGAAATCTCATTTGAGGATCTGAGTAAGAACTTGGCAGTAATTCTTTTAGAAAATGAATGAATGCTTGATTGGTGGGGGTGGCAATATTGTTAGAAACCTGAGTATACTTAGTGGCTTCTGTGTACGGCGGCTGCCAGGAGGTGAAGAACTGCAGCATGGGCTAAAGAAATTGGGAACTAAAGTACTCCTAATGTTACCACAACAAAGCTTGGTAACAGAGGAAGGACTCCTTTCATTTGTTGTTGATGGGGAGTAGGCTGTAGCCAACATTAAGCACGTAGTTCAGAAAGTCCCGTCTTAGCTATTTCAGTATATTTTGGAAAGTGAAAATGGGGACTGGAATCAGCATAATTATACACCAGCTAAACCTGAACTTGAATAAATTCAGCAAAAGCACATCCTAAATTTGCATGTCGGTTAAAGATGAAATTCCAGAATGAATTGCTAAATGCCTTTTAAACTTTTACCAGATGTTGTAAAGCATTTCATTTGGCAGATAATATATTTGCAAAGATATTACCTATATGCAAAAAAAGCTTTAGTTTGTCCCCAGTTCCTGCTATTGCAGTTATACTACCAGAGATCTCGGTGTATGTGTGTAACATTTCTAGGATTTCCTGTAGCCAAGTGGCCTAAATTTGTCCAGTTACCCCATTTTGTAAAGCAACTTTTGTTTTGTTTAGAACCAAAACGGCACTGGACGTATAAACTCTTTTTTTCCTCCCTTCTTGTTTGACTTCCGTTACCAACAAAAAGGGTTCTTATCAGCTCTTGCTGTTGTAGGCCACTGTATTTTGTAATACTCTTCTTGAGACATTTTCACAACTAGTTGGCATAATTATTATTGGTAGGTCAGAAGTAACAGCAGAAAAAGACTCCAAATACAGGACCAGCCTTGGTTTTATACATCTTTGCTAACCTGATAAGTGTAATATAGTAAATTGGGACTCTGGTCTGTACAAATGTCTAGTAATAAAAACAGAAATGAAACATGATTTTTAAACCTCAAAGTGCTGTTTTAGTCTTCTGCAAAGCTCATGTAATTAAACCTAAGCATACTGTAGTTTTTTAAAAATCTCTTAATGTTCTGTATCTTGAAGGATGAAGACGATGACGACGATTACGTTGAAGAAGGTGTCGATGAGGAGGAAGAAGGTAGGTTCTGCAAAGTGTGAAAGCTGTTTGTTTGGGTTTTTAAAAAAACTGGTCCATTCTTTTGGCACCTGTAAATTAGCAAGTCTTATCTCACTGCCATTGTCAGCTTATGGCGCATCTGTTCAGCTGATCTGTTTGACACCACGTAACCCTTGGATGAAATGGGCAAAAAAAATCTTTTATGTTTAAAGGTGTACTTGGTAGCTGTGTTGGTCTGAGACAAAAAGACATGCAAAAAATTAGAACTCTTGGTTTCAGAATGATACCTTTTATTAGACCAACTGGAAAATGGCATTTTCCAGTTGATCTAATAAAAGGTATCATTTTGGAACCAAGAGTTGTAGTTTGTTGTATGTCTTTCACATTTAAATGAATTTTCATATTTAATAATGCATCAGGGGTGTCAGAATTCATTGATTTAGGTGTTATGGGGAGGGGGAATAACCTGTTTGACTTAATCTTTGGAACTTTAAGATTTACAAAGGGAATTCACCCTGCAAAGAGAAGATATTAGTACTAAGTGCATAGGGCACTGAGGAGTAGAGACTTATGGGAACTGAATATCAGGAGTTGTTTGCCTGCAGAAGTGAGTTACTTCCATATGCTCATATATAAGGTTAATATGAAAAGCCCAAATAAGATATTGGGATCCATTACAATAAATCAGATGAGTACAGCAAGGCAAAAGGTAAAAGATGGTGGCAGAAAATGTTTAATGAGGACAGCTGCATCTTTCCTGCTCCTTTGTTTGTCTTTAGAGTTCAGTCTGTCCAGGGTGTGGATCAGTCATATACTTGTATAGCTTTTGGATGCCAGATAAATAATGGTCAGCTGTAAGTTCATACTAGTCTCTGCTAAGGATTATGCAGAAAATATCTGTACTGTGATGCATAGAGTGGGGCATTTTATTTATAGGCAGCTTTTCCTTATGAGGGAGAAGTGGCCAGATTTAGCCACAAGGCTGGGATGGATCTCCTGGGTCACAGAATCCACAGCTATTGCAGCCAGCCTCATATAATCCCTTTAATAAATGTTAACAAAGCTGGGTCTTAAAAGTAGTTAGGGTTTTGCATGCCCTCCCCCTCCAGCCACTTCTGATGGCTAAAAACCTCTTCTAATTTCCAGCCTGAATTAATTCATAGTCACAGTGCTAAAAAGTTGGTTTTGTGTAGCCTCTCTTCCTGTTTCCATACAAAATACCATCCAGTAGCCAAACACTAGAACTGAGGGCTCGACTAGAAGCTGTTTGCACTATGCATGTTGTTTAATAGACTGTCTTTTTGGAGACTTTTAAACTAGTCTTTAAAATCTAAGCTGGCAAAACTAACTTTTCACTCTTTCAAAAGCAGCGCTGTACTTGCTACCTCCCATTAAGCAATCAATGAAGATGTTTAATTGTCTAGAACAGGGGTCAGCAACCTACGGCCTACAGGCCAGATCCAAAAGGTTGCTAGCCCCTGGGCTAGAAAGTATTGCTCCAGTTGGATCTAAATTGCATTTCATACTTTCACCAGCAGAGCGCATAGTTGGCCAGCTGAATCGCATATATTTCTATGGTTAAGTGCAGAACTCGGATTCTTAAATTAGTTTCTTTCAATTGATACCTCATTCTGTAACTGGAGAAAGCAACGTCTCCATACCACCACATTTTCTATATGAAACTCTTAAGACGGGGTGAACATAGACTCGGAAAAGAGAACTTAAATGGGTCTCTTCCTGTTTCAAATCTGTTTAATCTCATATGCTGACTGTAGCGTATAGGTATAATGGGATTCAAGTGTGCTTTGTATTGAAGAACAGCCTGTTTCCAGTATGAGGTATAACATGCTCAGCGTGACTTGTATCACCAAAAAACCCAGCTTTCCACTATTTATGACCTCAAAAATGTGTACAGCTAATGTAGAGAGAGAGAAAGATGACAATTGAAATAGGCTTGTTATTCCTTAGTCTCTTATTCCATCTAACCTTCAAGAAGTTAATCAGATATATATACACATATATAACTTCTTTCCCCAGCTGAGGGTGTCCGAGGGGAGAAGAGGAAACGAGAACCTGAAGATGAAGGCGAAGAAGAGGATGATTAATTTGTTACAGAAACAAATAGGACCAGACTCTTAAGTTACAGAATACGCAATAGTGATCATGTACCATAGATGTCCCTACAGAAAATAACATGTTAACTTTTTATAGGAAAGGTGTGGTTTTACTATTCTTGCCCTTTTTATCATTCCGAATATTATGTAATAACCTTGTTAGTGAAATATGTAGAAAACAATTTTCAACCCTATAATCACTGAATTCATTGTCAAGTTTTCCCCTAGAATTTTTTTTGAATTTTTGTTTTATACAAGCTTGCTGTGTTGGTCATTATTAACCCACAATTAAGACAAGAAATGTTTTACATGGGTTTAGTATGGTGGATTTTATTCAGTATTTTAAAACTATACATAAGCTGAAATCAAAGATACTTTATGATAAAAATCAAGTCTCTATGAAATGAGAAGTAGTTCTATCCAACTGAGCTTGACCACGAGTTCAGCCTGAGATCGATATGTTGACTACACCTTATTTTAACTTGTTAAATTGTGACTTTTTTTTTAAGAGGGTCTTGTACTACTTTTTTTTTTCTGTTTTATGACTCACGAGGAAACCTAAACAAGTTTAAGGACTATTTTTCCCTAGCTTCTTCAGAAGTTTGCATGTTTGCTTGAGGACTTGCTGGATGTCTGAGGATGTATTTTATTAATTCTCACTTCTGATGAAGTGGTAAAATCCTTAAGTCTGTTTCTTCCCTCCTCCCTCACCCCCAAAATGGGTACTTGTATTTTAATAGCCATTCAGAAGAGCCAGTAACCCACAGTTTTAAACTGTCTGACTAAAAATCCCTTTTCCTCTAAACTGTTTTCACTTGGCTCTGTGATCTTGTGAAATTTCCAGCTGTACAGGTTTCCCTCGCTTTATGCTGTTCATGTGTTCTGGGAAAACGGCACATAACTCAAATTTGCATAAAGGGAACCCACTTTACAATGTAACAAATAGGGATACGTTCGCAACTGAACTGACCCCCAGACCCATTTCTACCACTTTTACAAGACAGTTTTGGTATTCACCAACAGCAGATGGTACACACAAGCACAGGGCACCATCATAATGGGGATGGCAGCTACAGAAACACATTGCAGACAACGAGCGAGGAGCACAGATCCGCACAGGAGGCTATATTTTGGTGCTTGTCACTCCCACAATGCACTGCACAAAGCAGCTGGCTGCGGGCTTCCACCACGCAGATCACATAAGAGTGAAATTACCTTGCATATAACGAATTTTTTGGTATAAAAAGGGTCATAGTGTAAGAGCAAATTTGCACATACAGAACCCGCATAAAGCTGGGGGGAAACCTGTAGTTGGAAAATAGCTTTGGGCTATGTAGGACCTGCATTTTTAGTGCAAGAAGCAATGGGTAACTCCATCTAGCACCCCTTTTTCAATTAAAAATCTTCAAAGCCCTCAACACCATAAAAAGTTACATGATGGCATAAGCCCAGTTTTTTTTCAAGTTACTTCTTAACCATTCATATGTAAATTGTACTTTATCATTTTATCTATGTGTTCAGCAGTAAGTTGCTTTGAAGATGAACTAAGAACCTGCAGAAACTTTTTCTGCTAAACACAGCTGGCTGCAAGGGCAGGAGATGTGCAGACTACTGCTCCTGGGTAGACCACTTGACCAACACCTCTTACTGAATTCTGGTGGGTGGATGCACACGCACCTCCTTTAAGTCGATCTGGATTTCGAAGCGTACTCTTATCGCAACTCCTTTGTTTCAAATAGATACTGAACCAAATATCATACACAGCTTTATTAAAGAGACATTTTTGTATGTTGTCTAAAAATAAAATAACTGTCATTAAACTGGGAAAGGATAGTAGGGGGATTTTCTGGATTTTGATAGTAATGTTCTCTCCCCTGAACAGTTTAGCGTAGTGATCAGTCACTGCTCACCAGAGTCTGAGCCTCATATCCAACTACATTTAAGAAAGCGTGTTGTTTTTGCAAAATGTTAATATCTAACTGAAGTTTTGTGCGTCAGCCAGTTTGACATGCAATCAAGATAATCCAGCTTTTTTGGTTCTGTGGGGTTTTCTTGTTTTTTGTTTTTCTTTTTTAAAAAAGCAAGGTGTAATGCAAAGAGCCTCTGAAACTTTTGAAACTTTTTTCTTTTTTTGGCTTGGTGGGTGGTCTTTTCATGCAAACTATGTAAGGGCGGGTTTTATATTCTGTAGAAGTTTTTGTCCTATTTTAAATGCTCTTTGTATGGCAGTATGTATATAGTGCGTTCAGTCCCTTACCAAACTTTCTCCTTAAACTTTGAAGTAATTGATTTTGTGCAACTGTGTTTTGAATAAAGCCATGACAGTGTTAAATAAATAAAGCAAAAACCTGCAGCACTCTTCTGATAATTTTTAGTTGTAATAAAAAAAAAATGTTTCTTCCCCACGTGTGCTGTAAATTTTAAATTAAAATTTTTCAAACTGAATTATTTCAAATAAATTGAGAATTTCTTGTTGTATTGAATTGCTTTTCTAGCGTGTAGCATCCGTTGCTTTGTAGTTGCATTTGTTTGTAGTTAAAGAGCTGGCATTTTAGTTCTCGGCTTTATCTTCAGTTAATTAAGTTCAAGATAATGTGTAACGGATCCAAAAGCAATTGTCTTGAAAAAATTGTCAACATCTATTTTGTGCACCTAAAAATTAAGAGCTGTGACTTCACTGTGAGCTTTCAGTGGTAGCAAGATAAAAGTCCTTGCTTAAGAAATCTCACCTACATTTTTCAATATTGATAAGAAATGCAAGGAAGAGGCTTTTTAAAAACTAGCTAATTTCACTGTCTTTTTATACCTCATACTACTTTTCTGTGTAAAGTTGTTTGTTTTTTTTTTATTATTATTGAAAAGAAGAAGCATACACTTTTCTGAAGTTCCCCAACGGATGAAGAAAGTCCTACTTTTCAGTGCAAACCATACAGCTTTGTACAGCAAATAAGTCTCAGTGCTCTTCTTGCCAATATTTTCAATTTTGTATTTTAGGGTGTTAGGTAAAATGTTAAAAAGGATGCTGCCAAGCTGATGGACAGATACTTAGAGCTGCAATTTAGTGAATTTTTAGTATTTGAGAACTAATGGCAGTAACACCTAGACGCCAGTGTCCCCCATGCATCAGGAGCTGTACAGACATAACCGGAGTTGTATCACAATTGAAGTAATAATCTACGAACCAAATTCCCAGCATCGTCTTGAAAGTTGTGTAGAACCGCACATCTTCCTGAATTCGGCTTTCCCAAGACTTTAGTGTTAAACATTGACATGGATTTCCTTCCTTAAATATAGGGGAGCTAATCTTCATAGTGTATATCAGAACTTCAGTGAGTGATAAACACAAAATTATGTTTCTTTGAAAGCATTTGTTACCAGGCTGCTAATACTGTTTGCCTACCCTAGATGACAACTGTTAGAGTAAACTGCAGCTAAACCCATCTGGCTTAGAGCTGTGAACTTAAAATATAGTTTCAGGGGTGTAGGATGTAGCCATGTTGGTCTAAGGACAGCAGCAGACAAGGCTTTTTGGGTAAGTCTGATATCTTTTGTTAGACCAAAAAATATAGTGGTGTTTTGTTTGGGAACCCTGGACTTTGTGTGTAAGGGTGTTACCTGGATACTTCAGACCTAAACTTAAGCTCAGCCCTTCCTCTTTCTAAGGTAGGTTCACAGGAAAAAAATTAATTTCCTCTTTGTTGCTTTCAAGGACGGCAAAACTTTCTCTGCAAGACCTCATTGCTTTTATTTTGGTATTAGTCCTGTATGTATAGCAAAAATCCCCTTAATCCCCTTACTTAAGCAGCTAGTAACTGAGCTAGCTTTTTTCCTTCTGGATGAAGAACTATACTCCAGTGATCTATTTGAAAAAGCACTTTCAGGCCTTCAGAGTTAGCATTAGCTTATGCACTTATTTTTCCCTGGCTTTTTTTTTTGGAGGGAAGCAGGATGGAATATCATTACACTTTCCCACAATGGCAAAATGGGCTACTTCGATCTTTCATGTGCAGTGCCAAAGTTTTGTAGCCTTGTCAATCTGCTCTGAAAGGCAAAGTTTGCATTCAGAGGGAGCATTAATTGTGCTGTAGTGTTCTTCAAATAAAAGGTGAAGACCTACAGCAGTCACTCCTATTCAGAGCGTGAGTGTGAACTGAAAATGTGATGGGAGCCTCATGTTTCTATCCTGCATGACCTGCTGCAAAAGGCCCTTCTCGAAAGAGTTCTTCAAAGGGAAGATGCCAGGAGTTTAAGATGATTAGCCCAATGCTGATAAATTTTGAAGCATGAAGGTTTCTATGCCAGGACAATTGTGTCAGTGAGCACCAAGGGCAATCTGAGTAACTTCCAAAATAATGGCAGCAGGGAACAGCCCTGTTGGGGGGG